TTGGTCCACTGAAGGTGTGTCTTTGTAACGCCAGGTGACGTCTTATTTTGACGTCTAGCGTCGTCTCTATGACCTCAGTGTGCGGCCTATTTAGAGTCCAGATGTGGTCGTGGTGGATGTCTTTTCAACAACAAACCTAGACTCATTGTAGACGTCGCTCTGAGTGAGAAGCGTCAGCTCTAAAGCCTCAGTCGTGCTCTGAGTCAGCAGTAAACATGCTGGAGCTGGAAATATAAAATCATAAACTGAGTAAGACTTTTCCCATCATGCACTGCTCCTGCAGTAAACTCCATCAGAGCTTCAGTGCTGAGGTGTTCCTGTTATTGTGTCCACCTCGGTGAGTCTGCAGTTTGTTCCCTGCAGCTTCCTCATTCCTCCTCCTACGCCTTACATCTGTCCTCCACATCTGGCTTCACTCAGCGGCTCGGCCCACGCTGTACAAAGCGAAGGTCTCAGCACGCCACGTTTTACAGCGTCCTCTCTGTTTCTGTCTGACTCCCTGCTGAACTTAAAAGCTTTTATTTTGAAAGTTTTGTGAGCCACATTCGTGACTTTTATTGTTTAAAATCTTTTTTGTAGATGTTTGGATCAGACGCTCCTCCTGCCTCAGACTGAAGCTTTCAGCTGCAATATGTGGAAAATCAGGAGGCTCCACACACATCGACAGCTGTGGAAACATCTGCATCCATCAGCAGCTGCAGCTTCCTCGCTCAGGACAACGACGATGATGACGATGATGTCGTTACATCCTTAAATCGTCTCAGAGAGGACAAAAGAAATACAACTCTCCTGCATGACTCGGGGACACGTTCCTCTGGGGCTGATGTGTTTCCTCCTTACAGTCACTTTGAAACCAAAGTCTGTGTTTTACCTGTCCATGTCTCGAGTCACCTGACAGGTGGGATCACAGAAGCCTGTTAGGTGACTCAGGTGAGTCACTGGTTGATGTCACCCAGGAAACGCCTGATGCTTTGGCTCATGTGATGTCTCAGGTTAGTGACAGATGTTTATGTTGGACTGAAACCTGAGACGGTCGCCTGATTTGCTCATTAAAGTCCTGCAGACGTTCCTGTGGGCGGGCTTTAGTGTGCTTTAGTGTGTATGAAGCACTGCTCCATCGCCACGCTGACGAGTCTCATCACTGTTTAACAATCGTGTGATATTTATTCATGAAAGCCTGAGTCACAGAGCACTTTAGTAACAGCAGTCTATGACTGCAGACACGCGTCGCTCAGCTCACCGCCGTCAGCATCAGAGGACCGTGATGAACAGGACGTGAGCGTCTGACTTAGACAGCGGTGACGGTGAGGCGAGCGCTGTCCGCACAACAGAACGCCACAAACACGTTCAAACCTTTACTGCAGAAGAGCTGTAGAAAGAACACGCCTGAGAAGCTGTTTGATACACTGCTGAAGCTATTCACTCATTTACTTTTTCTATTTTTTTCTATTTCTTTTCTACTGGTGCTGAAGTGAGTTTCTGTGGGATAATTAAATAAATCTGTTTCTTTACAGTGAGCTGTAGAAAGAACCACCTGCATGTCTACAGCCTGCTGTGCTGATGATTCTCTACGGCATAACGACCAGGCGATAGCTAAACGTTAGCTAAACATTAGCTAAACGTTAGCTAAACGTTAGCTAAAACAACAAACCCGCAGAGAGCTGAAGGATGGTGTCAGGAGAAACATCTGTGAATGTGATCACTGAACGAGCCGATCATTGACTTTGTTTCAGCTCCTCGGAGACACGAGGAGGACGTCCACAGTCCCATCTCCTCTGAACTCGTCAGGGTGGAGGTCACGCCGTTAACTCCACCCTGGTGATGGTGTTGGCAGGTCAGCTGAGGATGCTCAGTGACCTGTGGACCCTCCCGCAGCTCTGACACTACCGCTCACTTAAGTCACAGTGCAGGAACCGTGTTAGAGTTTCTTCTTCAGGCACTGATTACATGGGACCCTGTGACTAAGTTCACATGACCCAGGATTGGTCCACGACCTGGAGATTGGGAACCTTTGCTCTGATCAAACAGCTGTAAGACGATTGGGTCATGTGATACATACCAGTCCATCACAGTTGCTGATGGCGACTGACGTACCCTCCATGTTGGACACAGTTCCCGTGTAGAAGCAGCCGGTGTCTTCTATTGGCTGAGAGTGGTGCTGTCCTGACTCCTCCCACTCCATGGTGGCGGTGGGGGCGACGAGGCGAGAGTTGGGATGCAGGTGTAGGTGCAATTCCTGCCCGAAGGCAGTCACATTATAGAAGAGCTCCACCTCCTCTGTCATGTGACTCTGCCCCCACCAACCGTGACTGGGCGGAGCCTGTTGTGAAAAGGGTGTGTCCATATGTCTGTCATTAAAGTCGGTGGGTGTGTCCTCTGATGAGGGGGCGTGTCTTTTCCTGCGATGTAGCTGGCGAGCTGAGATGGAACCTGACAGGAAGCGCCCCTCTGAGTCTGTCCTGATTGGACGAATGATGGCGAACTCCGACAGAACCTGATGGAGAGAATCTGCAGAAGAAGAAGAAGAGTCAGTCACTCCTGCAGCGTCTGTTTCAGGACTGAAGACAATAAAACCTTCAGTTATTTAAACAAACACGTTACTGTTGAACATTCAGACCGACAACACCTGAACCTCACACCTGCAGTTCCTCTGACGTCCAGCAGGAGCAGCACTGAGTCAGTCCCATAGACTCCCATGTTAAAATAAACATGTTTGGAGTCTCTAGTGATACTTCAAACCTGTTTAGATTTGATTAAGGCTTAATTTTTGCATCATTGGGGGCGTGGCCTCTGACAGGTGGTCTTCTAGCTTCACCTGAGCTGGGCCTCTAGATGTGTTTATGCTGTTGGAGCCTTCACATGACATCATGTGACCGATAACATGGCTCCTGTTAGGTCACTGTACCAACAGAGCATATGAGGAGGCGGAGCCAAAGACTGAGAGCATCCTGTGGTTGGACTCTGACTGGACGCCTCTCACAGAGCGTGTAGATGAGTTTATGACCTGAAACACTTCTGTGCTGTGTTTTGTTTTTATACGGCCACGTCTTTAACATACTCAGACAAAGACGTTTTAAATAAAATATATTTTTAATTTTTGTTATCAGAGGATTATTTAATGGTGATCATGAAACCAGTGGGCAGGTACAAAGCTGATTGTGGTTTCTGTGTTTTACTTCAAAGACATTACTAACATTTATAACATGACTCCAGCTGTTTCATCCAGATGTTATAATAAATAAATAAACACTAAAACCTCTGATCCTCCCACACAGGACAGTTTCTACAGGATTACATCAGCTCAGGCTGGACACAGTCTTACTCTGAGAGCAACTCTGTGAGGACGTTTCTGTCCTGGTGGAGATTAGAGAGCAGGACGAGGGTCCTCACACGTATAGAAAGACAAGCTGTACCTACACTGATGAAGAGGAAGGATGAGTGGGCTCTGTCTGAGGTCATGGAGGTCACACACACACACA